AAAACAGACTCAATCTCAATAAAAATTTATAATTAATTTATAAAAAATATACATTGTACAGACATCCAATGGTTTCAAGGTGCGTGAACTTTTGACATGCTAAGATGCTTGAAATAATCTAATTAAAATGTATATAAAAATATCAATATGAGAGTCAATAGAAAATGTGTGGATGGAATTTAATTAAAGAGGTGAGCAAAATAGACACGTACATGTGATTGTGGATTTAAAGTGAAGCTTGTGTATATCTTATAATTATTTTTTGTGTACTTTATAAATTTACTGTGCTAGTTTATTTCCACTTAGGGATGTCTTGTGAATAGACTCGACGAGCAGATACTTTAGAAGAAGAAATAATGGCTATTTTAAAATGAAAAACGTACTGTAATGTTTGCTAATTAGCAATTACGAGCGACGTCTATTGAATACACAATAGATTGCTCTAAAGATTTATTTTCATATTAAAGATCTTGTGGTTATAGTACTTAATATTAAAGTCACATCATTTGAATATTTAATTCGATGGTATGTTTAGATTTATTGCTCGTTTGGGCAGGACTGAGCATAAAATTAACGAACATGAATACGAAAACATTAATAAAAATTTGATATGTTTTGGTGGCAGAGGTGGAGTTCTATGGAATTACTAAGTCGTGGATCCATGCAGCCTACTACTTCTAAACATACTGAAGCCAATTAATAATATGGAATAAATTCAATCAAATCACTATAAATTCTAATCTGATGTCATTTCCCACCCCTGGAACACGAAATCTAAGACACAAAAAAATTAATCTCGGCACTAAAATATTTTTTGACATCACTAAATACCGCTAATATGCTATAATCCACCGCGACATGTACAGTTTAATACTTCATTGCCAAATGTAAAGAGCAATAATATGTGTAAAATTAGTGACATTCCTAAGCTCGAATGTCAATCTCTTATTGATGTTTTTGTATTGATATAAGGCACTCGAGATTGATGCTGCATAACCTTACTCGGAAATCTTAATGAGTTAAAATTAGAGAGTGAATCGGTAATTGTATAAGGTATAAGGTTTGTAAATTGAAATTTTGTGGCAAAGAAGAAAAAATGTGACAATTTTATAGCTATTCCAGTTTCATGTTAGCGTGCTCGTAATCTTATGAAAAAAATTACATTTCCTTGGTTAGCACTAATGACATTGAATCATAAAAAAAGTCATAAATACGACGCAGATAGAATCAATTGATTAATTCCAAAAAGAAAAACTTTCCCAAAAAACATTAAAAGTGTCAAGCCTTAAACTAGTCTATAAATATCTTAATAAGAAAGCCAAAACAAATAAAATTGTTGAAAACAAAAATCAAAAGTGTTTGACAATCCATAAACAGCTCCTACAACATTTTCGACAAGTACAATTGAGCTAATTGTGATGGAAACGACATCATAAAATTATTGTCGACAAGATTGAAATGATTTTATAGTCTCTTCCACTTCCAATTTTTTTTTTTTGAGTTTTTCAACAATCGACAAATATTTGGTGTGAGATTGCCTGACATTTCAGCTTCAAGGAATTCACTTATTTTCGAATGAAAATTAATTAAACTTTTTCAATTAATCTCAATACAAAAACTGCTTATTCTGAAATAAATTGAAGCTTATGTTCTGCTCACATTCAGCATTTCTAATCGAAACAAAAGGAATGAAAATGAAAAAAGTTTTTATTATTTCAAGTCATAAAAACTTTTTTTTTTCACTTTTAAATTGTTTACATGAACAAAAAAAAACAAAAAGAGGAATGGACAATACACAATACTGGGTATATGCATATATACCATATTATCGAATAACGTGAAGCAGATGACTTGCAATTCAACAAACACTGGTTTTTACAATCGTATAGTTCACATATGTTCTCATACAGAATGAAACAAAAAAAAAATACAAAATGATGAAAACAAATTGCTTCTCTTCGTGCTCAAATGGATGAGTTATCGGTTTAAAATAATAATAATAATGTGTATTAATGTATGAAGGTCCCATTCTGTTAAGGCGAGCTGGTTTCAAATTAATTTCTTTTTCGTAGCGACTCTGGTGTTTTTGAGAATGAGATATTGCTTCACACTTACGAATATATATTTTTTATTCATTATTCGTGTGGTCTCCTGGGGGTTGAATAAATTTTAGAGCTACTTAGAGAATTTTTTCAATATTTTATCGGACTTATGTATGCACCAGAATTGTTAATTTGGTTTGATTGGGTGGTCTATAGTGGAAATTGAACGGCCACGTTCTTACAAATCAAAAAGTAGCTAGTTTCTAATCTAAAGGTCCCTATTTAATAAATTAGGCTTTATCAGACTTACCACTAGAAATTAAAGTGGACTTCCTTGAGTTCTTCGGGGTCTAGTCACTAAAGTTGACTAAAACCAAGCTCAACCCGACACTCTAGATTTCATATAATTCTAACATCAAACTTAATGACATGTCTTTTATGTCAATGATCTGCTTTCACTCAAACATCCAGTTAACCAACTCTTTCCATTTTTAATCAGATTACCCTTTTAATTCTCAAAATTCCTCATAATCATAGTCAATAACAAATTCTTGAATGTCCACAAACTGACTTAATGCAAACAGCCAACCAGATTTCAAGAAATAAATAATCAGATTAAAATTCAAATCGAGTCTAGAAATCCCCTAACAGAAAGTAGACCATAAATCGGTCATTTGATCAGGCAAAGAGCCCTTCAGACATCTTGAAGAATGCATAATGCATGTTTATTGAGCATTAGATATAAGAACAAACGAAAAAACAAAAAAAACCAGAAAGGAGAGTAATGAATTTTTAATATATATTTTTGTAAACCATCTGTGGCTTCTTATGTGTCTTCGTTTTAACTTTTGTTAGCATTTAGCATATGTAAATATGCTTTAACACAAAAGGGAAGTAGAGAACCCAAAAATAAATCCTTTTCTGTTCTCTTTCTTCAGCATCGAATCCAATTTTTCAATGGCAAAGAAAGAAATTTTAATGATTAATAATTAAAGGGCAAGAGACGGTATTGAATGGTTCCTAAATAGAATTTTTTTCATTTGTTCTTGAAAACACATTTGGAGGGGTTTGTTGCCTTTTGTGTCATTATAAATTATGCCGAGTCAGAAACTTTTAATTTTTTCTCTCGTTTATTCTTTCTTCTTGTGATTGTTGGTGCTGGTTTCGATAAAATTTGAAGAATTGATTATATTGTGACTCCTTGTTTGTGTGTCTGTCCAAGCATCTGTTTATGCCAATTCTGTGTATGCAAAATGCGCCTTTATAGTCCAAAATCTTCAAACTTCTACACTAGTTGTACCTTGCCGTTTCAAGAGCAATCTTTTGTGTAGCGTAATTTTCTGTGTTCAAAAACAGCACGTTTTAAATATATTTTTATGAATAAATAACGAATAATAAGACATACAAGCACGTGAGGTTCTCATTTGAACAATTTTTAGAGGCGGAGATGAAAAAAAATAAATTTGGATTTGATTTCATTTTGATTGCTAATAGAAACGTATTTGCTGTCTTTCTTCGCTCTGCTTCTGTAATTTTTCTTGTTTCCAAACAAGCCTAATAATAATCATCTCGCATGTTATTTTTGTATGTTGTCATAACAATATTGTTGAAGCTTCGCTTTATGATAATTTACATAATTGATACAAATTAACTCACAACAAAAAGATTAAAATCGATTATTGATGAGATAAGCATGTAATGATGATAACTTTTATTGCTCTGTCATTTTTCGAAAATTTTTTTTTTTTTGGTTCCATTGTTGAGCAAAATGTGTGAATGGGAATAAATTGATATAAATCGAGATGCTGATTGCTTCATCATGCATTGAAATCGGACTTGGGAATTGGAATTGATTATTGTTTTCGGAATTCTTCACGGACCTGCTGAATTTTATGCATTTTATTGCTGAGCTGTTTTACTAGGTGCTTCAAATGTAAATTATTGACTTTATCGTGCTTGAAAAGTTGTCAAAATAGTTAAATGGCATAGAATTTAGATCTTCTTTTAACACCTTCCAGTCACCAACTCTGAAATAGTCTCGAAAACTACTGATAATCCTGATTAATGACATCAAACTAGAAAATTATTCAAAAACTACTTTATTAGAAAATATTTTGTAATCAAAGCTTAAATTATTGATCACATTTATAATATGTGTAGCTTAATATGGTCAGAAATGAATTCCATAAATTTGACACTTCCTCAAATTTTATAATATTGATGATTATTTGATATATTATTAAAAATGAAAATGACTTTCAGAAAATAGATCACCAGAATTTTTTTTTTCAAAATTTTATATGCCCGAATGCTTCATACTAAGACTAAGAGGACTAAGATAAATAAATAATCAATAGTTTCGATCAGCTAAGCAGCTGCTAATTATGCAAAATATTTACAAGAGAAAAAATATGAATATTTTAGAGATTAATATTACACATCTTGTTGATAACGAAACGAATATTTCTCTTATAGAAATATATTTGTAAGCTGGAAACTAGACAGAAGATGCTTTTGATGTATTAAGTTTTTATGATAATTCATCAATGCTTTGAGTAAAAGATCCACTTCATAATTCTCAAAATTTACAGAATTAATAAACCGATTTTGTCAAGCATGAACACAATATGCATACTGGCATGAATACAAAGGAACAGTATACCTTAATAAATATTGAACTTTAATTTTTTCACCCAAAAAAATGCACCGCAATAAAAAATCAAAGCAACCACAAAATTAAATTTACAAAAGAAAATTGGTGAATAATTAAAAAAATCCAAAGGTTAAAGATTTAAAAAGGGAACTTCTTCCTACTCCTATAAGTCTGAGAATTTTAGGATTGTAGAATAATATTGGTCTACGATGAGTTTCAAGAAAGTTGCTTTTAACATCTATCGTCTTTAAAAAATAACATTTTGTGTTTAAGGGTAATTTTAATGAGTATTGCTAGAAGGTTAAATGGAAGAAATGAACAGCCAGGGGGAAGGCACTGTGAAACATAACAAAGTTATCCGAAACTTGGTGAGTTTATTATTCATTTATGTTGTCAAGAATTTACAGGCATAGAAGTTATGTTGTTGTTAAGAGAGTTATTTAAAAATTCAATTTTCGGTCGACATCATTTGTGAAAAACCCCCAAAAACTTAAATTGAAAATAAAACCTTAGCAGAAATTTACTAGTAATTTATTATTAAATAGTACTAATAAGTAAGTAGTAGAATAGAAAGACTAGCAATTTGCAATTTCGATCGACGTTATAAAGGTGATTTCTGCGCGCTCTTGTGAAGTATATGGTATATGGCAAATGCCAGATTTAGAACAAAATTATTTATGACGCAAAAAAATTTTTTTTTGTGATTTTTCGTAGGATTCGAACTTAAGCAGATTTGATCAAACATTTCACATGGTAATTTACTAGAAATTTGCTATTAAATAGTAGTTGTAATTCACTAATAGTAAGTTATTTAAATAATAACTAGTAAATTGCAAGTAGTAGAATAGACAGACTAGCAATTTGCAATTTCGATCGACGTTATAAAGGTGATTTCTGTGCGCGCTTGTGAAGTATATGGTATATGGCAAATGCCAAATTTAGAACAAAATTTTTTATGACGCAAAAAAATTTTTTTTGGTGATTTTTCGTAGGATTCGAATTTAAGCAGATTTGATCAAACATTTCACATGGTAATTTACTAGTAATTTGCTATTAAATAGTCTCGCTAGAGAAATCTACTTAAAAAATTAGCAACAACAAAGGTCTTAAGCCTTAAAGTTAAAATAACCACAAATCATCAAAACTTTGAAAGTTCATTAAACTGCTGTCAAAACAGAACACTTCCTAGCCCCTTAAAAAACCACAAAAAAGATTCAATTTCTTCTTCCCTTTTTTCCCTTCTCATCTCAATAGCAACGATGAGCATTAAAAGGTCTTTTCAAGTAATTCTCATTGAAAATAAATGAACAATGTTTTTCCCCATAATGAAAATTATTTTTCACGAAAAACTTAAAAGAAAATTTTTTTTAATAAAAAGAATTTTTTTGCCCGTTAGCGAAAAAATGAATGAGTAACACTTTTTACTACCTAATTTTCACATCAGCAGACATCGTTTCCTTTTCTCTCTCTGTGAGCAAGCATATGCTGTTGCTTTAATTAATAACAAAAAGGAAACTTATTATCATGAAAAAGTTTTCCCACAAAAATTGTTTACTATTTTTGGATATAAATTTATTTTCATCCCGTCAGACATTTTATCCAAAGATTTAAGGGTTAATGTAGTGTATTTGTGAAAATTTAATTTTTTACTTAATTTTTCTTTTTTTAAAACGAAATCATTTTCAAATAAGTAATTAGTGCGCGAAAATGGGCGAGAAATGATGAATTTGCGGATTTAAAAATTGCCTGCGTGCTTTTTCACGAAAAATATCTTAATTGCTATTTTAACTCACACTCTTCTGGTTGAAAAACACAGACAGATTTTTTTTTTTTGGCGTTGAAACGTTTTCCAGATACATTTACGTTTAATTTTTTCCACTCATATTCACGCCATGCGCCAATTTCTTTCCCTTTCAATGATTTTTACTGCTCTTTAATTTTTTCGCTTTTCTCACGGAAGAATTTTTTTTTTAATTTTTGATTTTTTGTGGGGATTTAAATATTTTAAGGGAGGTTAAATGAATCTTTAGGTTAAATTTGGATTAGATCTAAGCCTTTGGTATATAGGATGATTTGAAAATATATTGAAGCAAGGGAATGGCAATGAATTGAAATAATAAAGGTTTCTTAAATTTTTTAACCCCCCCCCCTCTTCACCCCACCTAAAGATAGTTCTAGGATCTACATACCCTCACCCATGAATTCATCCTTGCCTCAGGCACAGCAATTTTGTATAACTTTAAATACGAGATCAAAAAAGTGTGAAATTAACGACATTAACACATCTCAATATGGCACAAAACTGAGACTAAAAATGTGTCACGTCGTCTGCGAGGAATACAAAAGTAAAACTTTTCACATAAAATTTTCATTATGAAATCATTTAATGACAAGTTTTCATTACAATTCAATAAGGCTTTGACTTGCTCCCCAACATCACTATCTCCGAATTTATTCTCTCTCTTTCATCTTTAAATTAAAGTGCGCCAATATATATAATTTCAGTCACGTCGTCAACATCATCACAAGACATCTGATTTTCTTATTTTCATTTCCCACGTCACTTGGCGTTTTCATGTCAATGAGCGTAATCTGTATGCAGAATAAGCTTGGTATAAAAGGTTTAATGAGCAAATAAGAAAAAAAAATCCAATGAAAAATCATTTTCCGAAAAGTGTCAGAAAAAGGCAATCGATCGATAGCTAGCCAAGTCAAATAGCTGTGAGTGCTGAAAATTAATTTCATCGAGAGAAAATTGAACATAAATTTAATGAAATTTATTGGCAAAAACTAATCAAACAGAGAGGAATAACAAATAGAATGAAAATAAATCATTTACTTCTTCTTCGTCTTCTCACCCGGACAATGTCTTTTGCTTTGATGGATTTCAATTAATCATTATTAAAGGCGCGCACACACAGTGAGAGGAGGAAAAAATTATGTCGAAATTTTGGAAGATTTAAAAATGAGTATAGTGGTATGCAGCTTGTGGGTGACGGATGCGCATTTAATTCTAAAATATATAAGCTTCTCTCTCGTCCCCTCTAAGTTTAGCTAGCTAATTTAAAAAAAGTTCTTATAAAATCTCCCTGAAAAAGCAAAAAGTTGATTAAAAAGTTCAATAGCAAACAGACAGACAGAATGGACGATAGGTCTTTATGTTTGAATAATCTGCTGGAAAATCCGTGGAGTGAGAGTGATTTGAATACTGAAATGTGGTTTACTTTTCCGGTATTGCGTACGAACGAGAAAATGAAAAAGCGAAATTAATTTGATGCCTTTCAAAACTCATCATCTGTGGGCATGTCGAAATAATCTTCAAGTTAATTAATTTCATAATTGATTGAAATGATGTCTTTCAACTTGAGAATCGATCAAGTTTATTTTTTAACCCAAAATTTCAATCTTCTCCTGTTTTGTGTTATAGATAAATTAAATCAGTCAGAACTTCATTGAATTATCTTGATTAATTGAAAATGATTTATGAATGGATAGAAATGGAAATCTCAACTCTATTCATCCGTAAATATTTCATAATTTATCTTTATTCAAAAAGTTTTCCATAAAAACTTTTTTTTTTTAATTTTCATAATCAAATTATTCTGCTATTCAGTAAAAAAAAGTTTCTTTATGGTCAGATCTAAATGTTTGTTGAGATGACAAGGAAAATAAACGAAAAAAAAACATAATTTTTTGGTTCATCAATCATTCTTGAAAGAAGGTTGAATCATGGAAATAGATTATCCAAATTTTTCATCTTTTATTTACCAAGTCAAAAAAAATTCATTCAACGTTTTTAAATCATCACTTTGTTAATCTAATTCATTAGCGGCAACAGCGAATCACTGTCGGCATTTTATGTGTTCCAAAATGAATTATTCAGTTTAAATGCTGCAGTTGGAGTTGAGAATAGTCTATTGATGTGAGAATATTCACACCGTCTTTTATATTTACAAAACCAGCATTTAGTCTTGAAATGAAGCGTCGTTTTTTATTCAAAAAAGAGCATTGCTTTAAATTCAATCTAAAGTGAAGCATTGCTTTGTATCTAGTCAATTTTGTGTAAAGCGTCGCTTTTAAAACCAAATTTCTGGTTAAACGACGCTTTTAAAATGAAGCATCGCTTCCTAAATTAATCTTCGTTCAAAAAATTTAACATTTTTCACCTTACCTCCATCACAAAAGTACCTTACGAACAGAAAAGAGTATAAGACTCTAAAAAATTTAAAAGCGTGAATAGATCGTACAAGGAATTATGTCGAAAAATAGAAATAGAAAGGCAGAAGTCATGAGGGAATGTCACAAATGTCGTTTAAGTCTGGATTACATCAATTTCCATCTACATTTTCTCGTTCCTAATGCTTCCGATGAAAAATAAATCTCAGAATGTATCTTATCATGTGAAGCTGTTAATGTAACCTTCCTTTAAATGACGCACATCTATAGGATTATCGGTGTATTTGGAATGTCAAATAGAATAATGACAAAACAGGATTGACGTCGTTGCCTCGACGTAAATTTTCATCGAATGTTTCGCTTTATTGAGCAAAGAGAGAAAATTTTCTGTTATTTGTAAAATGCTAGACATGATTGATAGAAGGAAACTTTATGACATTTGTAGAAATTAATAAGGAAAAAGTTTTTCAATTCCTGTCTATTAGCATTCACACATGTCGATAATAACTTAATGCCTTACGAATATATATACTGAATGGATTTATATTCAGCCTTTTGTGTAAACATTTAATGACTTTTTTCTGCTTCAAAAAATTTTTCTTTTCGACTCCTTCGGCAATTTTCGATCCTTCTTCTTCATCACTTTTATTGATTTTGTTCATTTTACTTTTCAAATGTTGACACAATTTTTTTTGTCAATTTATCATAACATTTTTTGAACATGACAAATTTGTTCTCCTTTTTTTACAACATCCTCAACAAGCAGAAATTTCTTGGGTCAAGCAAAAAATACAGGAACATCTCAAAACATATATGAAGGATTGATAAAATTTTCTTTTGATTATAAATGAAGGAAAGAGAGCAGTAGCAAAAACAACTACATGAGGCAAGAAAAAAGGGTCATTTTGGAGCTATTTGTTTAACTTTCTAAATGACAAGGCACTTTTTTCATATATACGAATGAATGGATGTTCAAATAAAACAAAAATATACACACAGCATATCCCCCGATGGTTCGGAATATCACGTAAAAAGTAGAGCATGAAATTCAATGCGTTGACACTTTACTAGAGCGAAAAGTGTATAATTATGGGCTATTCGAACTATGATAAATATTTGCAATGGACTTTATTACATGCTGTGAGTCTTGATGACAAGCTTTAAGCTTTCTTTCAACGGAAGCTGAATTTTTTGTATTGTAATGGTAATTTTAGCTGCCTGTATTAGTACTATGTGAATTCCATCAAACATTAAAGGGCTAATGGAAATGTTTTACGCGTTTAAGCTCAATTAACCTTATGTCATTGTATTACGTTGTGATTTTTCACATGATTATCTATCATATAATGTTGAACTTCCCACTCATTTTAGAGTTTTGTTTATAAAAATTTAATTTTATTGTTTTTACACTTTGTAAACTGATTGCATTAGTTTAAGATGTTTTTCTGGCTTTGCTCAAAGTTTTGGAACAGAAATTAAACCCTCAAAAAGCATTTAAACTTATAATTAAGTCAAAATTTGATGTTAAAAATTTGAAGTGAAAAATGTAAACAAACTTTGTCGTTCTAAAGCTCAAATCTAGCTTCCAGCCCTTGACTTAATCATTTCTTCTACAATATCCCCCCAAAAAGAATTATTTATCAGCAAGTCTCTTTGAATATAATCTGAAGTTTCTCTTGTGCAACGTGCCATGACTTATTGATTTCACATTTATTCCCCAATCAATATGAAAGCTCTTTCTTATTCAAATAAAAATTTGTATGGCTTTATATCAACAGAATCATGAAAATATCATCAAAACAACCATAAACCTTTCAAAAGTGGACTAACAAAATGAATTTATGTATTTAGGAAAAAATGAGGAATATTTTGTTTCTTTTTGACATTGTTATCGTATTCCTTTATAATACCATTGCTACTTCAATTGTTTTGACAATAAAAGAGGGAAGAACAAAAAAAAGATTCAACATGAATGAATGAAAAGAAAAGGATTGAATGCTATCAGAGATTAAAATTCTTTTCTTTTTTTTGTCGATTCCGATTCAGGGATTTTGAAGGATCAATTTAAGGAGCTTTAAAGTGCTGTAGATTTGTTAATATGAATGAGATTTGAATTCACTTGAATTTGTCGTTTTCATTCACCATTCATGTCCTCAAATGTAAAAGGAATTTCCTCTGAAAAATCTAAAATGAAAAGTAAGTTGAGCACTAGACACAAAAAGCTTTTCTTAATATTTGAATGATTTTTTGGCAATCCAAATATAATGTTTTGGTAGGCGTTCATAAATGTTTGCATACATTGCTAGACAGACATGGATTTGGAACAAGTTTGAGATTAAATATGAAAATTTGACATAATTTGTGAGTGACTCATTTTTACATCCGAGAATCCCTATATTCTCCCACATTCAAAAAACATCCTCATATGGTGATGAAGAATAGAAGCTACCTACATGCCAACTGTTTACTTAAATAGAACTTTTTTTTTGAAAGAATCCTTTTCAATTTCTCTTCTGACTTTTTTTTGTGATGTACCTACATTTGGTATCATTGAAATTGTTTGGAAGGACAATAAATTGATATTTTGTCATGCATGCAAATTTTGACTTTGAAAAGGCTTTACAAATTTTTTTGTGCTTCAAGCACAAAAAAGAAAAAAAGAAAAATGGATAAATGAACAAAAAACTAATTTTTCTATCGTCGCTTAACTTTAATTTCAGGTCCACTGTCGGAGGTGCAAAGTGCGACAGGATTAGATGTAACTTTACCATGTGATTTATTTCCCACAACATTATCATCACCTTTAGCTCAAGATAAAGTAACGTTGGTAATTTGGTACAAAGAAGGCAATCAGAAGCCGATTTACTCGTGAGTATCCCCTTAATGTAATATTTATGTTACGTAATTACCCGTTTGCCTATATCGAGATACGCAGATGTATTGGGCAATGAAGAACAATATCATTTACTAAGTCATGAGTCATGACGATAAAAAGCTCGTTGCGTCAAACTTCTTATTCCCTTTTTTTTCACTGCTATTTTATATAAACTTCCGCCTACATAAAAATACACGTATATACGCACAAAGTACTAAAGCTTTATGTCATCATTTTACTTAACTTTTTCTTTTTATTTTTCATTTCTTTTGCCGAATGCGAACAAAACTTTTGCGCACACATAATTTTTTGCTGAATCAACTGTGTTATTTTTAATGACATTCTTCATAGAATCAAGAATGGCATTAAAGCATACACAAGTATGGATTTCCTTTTAAATTATTTCAAACGAAAAGCTCACGAGCTATGGCAATAATCATAAATTATTCATCCTTTTAACATTTCTTAATAATTCTTAAAGTAAGCTGGATATACCTCTTGACTTTATTTCTTGTCTTCTTTCGTTTTATTTTTTTGATATTTTGTCATGACATAAAACAAATGTACCATGACAATTGAGACATTACGTAAAAATCTACTAGAAAGCTCTTCCTTTAAGAATGACTTTGCTGAAATTCTTTAAGTGATTGTTTCTGTTGAAATTGTTGCGTTGCGTGATTTATTATGCGCGGTACGGATTACTTATAATGATGATGCTATTTTGATGTTAGAGATGATTTTCGTTGTGTCTTGATTTTAGAAATGATTCCTAGCGTACAAATCTTACAGTTTTAAGGCTGTAGATATCGTGCATGGTCCTCTTTTGAAATGTTTTTTGAATCCTACCTAGATTTCAAGTAGGATTCATATTGTTAATTTTTGCCAATCTAGTCTATAATCCTATAAAAAATACTTCATATCTAGTTCTTCTCGAATTCTGAATTTTCATAAAAAAATTCCTAAGCACAAACTTTTCATTATGATTCGAACCTATAATAATTAATTCACGAATCAATCTTCTCCATTATTAAATCCTTTTAGCGCCAAACTCCCCAGTTAATATTTAATTCAATTCCTTCACCCATACAACCCAATAAGAAAAGCTGAGTGAAAAATTCTTTTAAAGCCCCATCAATTTTCCACGAACGAATTAAAAATTGATTTGAAGGAAATACCTAACGACGAAGAAAATTATATATTGAATTCCTAATGCCTTTTTTTCCTTTGTACTGCTGTTCTTTATACCATCTAATAAATCCTACTGAAAGCCGACATTCTTGGATTTTTGAGAATAGAAAAAAAGAAATTCTGTAAAAAGCGACTCCAATAATCGCACGAAATCTCGAAAATCGATTTCAACACGCAAGCCAACTTAACAGAAATTAAATTGGATGAAATGAATCAATCAATCAATTTTGATCTTGTTACTTATATACCTGTAAATAGGGGTATGACATTACATTAGGAAGACTGAATGGTGGCAATTTGGTATAATGGCATAGTAAGGCATGTTAAAATGTGATCGGATTTTTTTTTCATTCTTTCTAAGGATTTTGTGTAAAACAAAATATTCAACAATTGACATTCAATTTTAATGAAAGGCTGGATGATTGGACAGTTGACAGGATGACAAATTGGATAATTCAGTGGGTGTTTGATGACTTTTAGTAATTTCTTTTCTGCTTTTGTTAAGCAGATCATTGGTTTGATGGACTGAAGAATGATGTTTGGGATTGTTGATCACTTATTGACTACTCAGATGAGTGATTTGCTTTTAATGGATGGGGAGTCGTAAGCTTTTTGTGTGAATTGATGGAAAACTGAGGATTTCATCCTAAAAATGTAAAACCAGATTATTTAAAGGAACCAAAATTGTTTAAGTAAACAAATAACTCAAAAGCTTCTAACTGACCGAATAAATGCTACATAAACAAACCTATTACCCAAAAGATTGCCTTAAGCACCAATTTTCTATTTACATCAAATTCCTCCCACCATAAAAAATACAATAAACCAAAATCTCTGCCTTGTTATTGCGATTTACAACCAAGAAATTATTTTTCTCTCCATCTCTTATCCCACACAGAAAAAAAAAAGTATTTACGGCAAGTCCACATCCAAAGTAATTTCCTATTCTCATTTTTATTCCAAATATTTCCACAAAAGTTCACGTGACTGCAATTTTGTTTCTCTCTGTCGACTTAATTTCTTGTAGACTGTCTAACGTCCACACGAAAATTTATTTTTTATTATTTTCAAAAATAAATTCAAGAGGCGCAGTTTTGAATTAATTCTGAGGCAATCGAGCAAGCTTCCTTCCTTCTGACTCGTTTTGTAATGTTCTTAATTTCTTTTACTAAGCCATGCTCAGTTATTATTCGGGAAATAGGAAAAAAATTCTACATAAAATCATAAAAATAGCGAGTTTAGCATAACAAAAAATTCAAAGCATTATAAACGATGCAAGCTGGTCTAGTTGAAGAATGTGTAAATATAAATAGATGTAGAGGGGTTCCTTTGATAAAGTTAAAAAAAAATATATATGGGTGGTTGGCTTTATTAGCTTCATAAAATTATTTCTTCCCGCTTTACTCTTGCATCGCTTCCTCATTCATTTCTTTATTTGGCTTAATAAAAATCATAAATAATAAAGTGGATTACACAATAAACGACGATGAAGTGACTTTGCTTTTTGGCTTCCATACTTTCTTTTTTGTCTTTTAGTGTCATTGCTTCATATTACAACACCCCTTAATTTTAATTTACTCATCGTTGTCGTCGTTCTAAGGCTTTGTCATTGTTGTAAGTGACTATAGTCGTGGCTGTGTATTAAATATGGATGTACTGAAAAAAATGTTTTAAATGCTTTTATTTTTATTCGCATAGCACATCTTTTTCTTTAACTCTCTGCTGTTGTGTTGTCTTTAAAGAATTAAGGAATAAAAAGAAGACTTTAACATTAAAAAAAATCCCTCAAAGTTTATTCTTCCTTGTTCGTTTTCGAGGGGGATTGTTGTTGGTTTTGTTGTATTTTTTAGCTTTTTCTTTGTTGCTTGAAATGGACTCTTGAGAATAACAAATAAGGATTATAACAGGATAAAATTATGGGCAGGATTGCTTTCTTGATTTTTGCTCACTCAAACAGTATTTAAGACAGAATTATTATTAATGCTAGAAAGCCTAAGCCAATATAAATCCCTGAGATGCTGAATCGTATAAGCCATAGCATCAGATCAGTTCATTTGACCTTACAATCCTGATTAGCTATCCCCTTTCCAGCATCTATGTCAACAACGCTGACTTCATTCCTTTCATTCTTCATCTTCTTAAGTGTATCACTTAAATATAGTAGGCGTTGTAAAGATTGACAATTTATTTCTATAAAGCCAACTTCCCCCTACTCTATAGACATTGTCTTTTGAACTCTATCCCATGTTATCATGCAGCATGGAAGGAGTAAAAAATGAGAAGAAATTTTTTTATTATAATAAATTGCGTTAATGTCTATAAAGCTCTTAGCTTCACATTATTTCTCTGTATTTCCTTTATCTATCTTTCACGAGATAACCTATATAAGAACCGCTCTTATTCTCTCTTATTCCATGTTGTGTTTTTCTTTATATTCATGTAATTATTTTAAAAAAAGAATATAATTAAAAAGGTTTGAAGAAATTATGCTGGGAAAGAAATTCTCTCTTTAATGATAGACAGATGAAAAAAGCAGTTTTGAAGGAATTCCTTTGTTTAGTAGCTTAAAGGGAAGAAAAGTTTTAATTTTATTTTAAATCTGTTGGAAATATGTAAATATTTTTGAGCAAATCGAGGCAAATTTTGTAGGTTTCGAATAGATTTAAAGAAATCTAGAGCTGTCTTTAAAAAATAGCAAGATGCAAACCTGGTAAATCTTTAGTAAGTGAAATCAAAAAATTCAATTTTTCAAAGTTGCACAATCTCTATTGAAACTTTACAGAAATCTTAATCCTTACAACACCATCCGATCTCTACTTCAACAAATAACATTTTCATACGTTTCATGCGAAAAATGTTTACTGTGTCATTTTATAGCGTGCCTAACATTCTTATTTTTATCACAAATGTACTTTGGGTAGTAAATTTGGCAGCTTTTTGTTTTATTCAAGTTTTATCTTAACAGCAATATATGATTATGATTTTGAATAGTTTATGCTAATGCATTATTGACATAAATCTTATAGCAGCAATAAAAGATATCTGTGCAAATTTCGCTGACTTTTATTGCCTTTTGTCTTGCAATCTTGAGTTAATAAATTTGAAATTTAGTTTTATTACCTATTGGCCTAGTTAGAGAAAATCGATAGCGGTTTCCGTCTAGCCATTTTGTGGCTTAATTTTGAAGAATTTCCAATGTTCTTTGCAACACTTTGAAGGAATTTTCAGACTTTTTTTTCGCGCTAATTTAAATTTTAAGAAAATATCAATTTGTAAGTTTCTAGAGTTGATTGATCCGTCAACTGAGATATAGCAATGTTTTAAGCTTTGCTCATGCTCATTCATTCGTATGAAATCAACTGAGTAACGAATAAGTAACAAGAAAAGTTTTAATTTGATGTCAAAATCTTCATGTGAGAATGTAAACAAATCACATTCGAAAAATCAATTTAAAATTTTAATAGCTTTAATGCTTGTTAGATTACCATTGAACCCTCATCTGTTTCGGATTACATATAAAAATAATAACTCCTAAAATAGCCTAGCCAAATCAATATGAATAACGAATTACCATAAATATTTTTGATCTGTTCCTCTTTCTCTCCTGATTGAGCAGCAATCTGATTGAAAAGCAATTTCAATGCACATTAAAATGAAAAATTCATAATCCATAAATATGGAATTAGCCTTGAGCAATCATCAATTTTGAAGACTTAATCACTACATCGTTTAACTTTTATTGTTTTGCGAATTTTTTTGATAAACTCGTAAAATCGAATTGCAATTTATATCCACAACTGCAAATATTAACGACTAGTGGATTTGCTCGTTGTTTATTTTGAGAAATTCATACCTTTTTATCGAGTAGACAGACTTAAAGTCTACAACTATACAGTTCAATCAATTCACTGCAGTACAATAAGTGCTATCGAGTATATAACAGACATTAAATTTTCAATAATACAGCACATTTTCCTTCTCATCTGTTTGCAGAAAAAGCAGCACAATTGAGCAAAGACAATCGCTTATTCATGAGATAATCTGCAAGATTAAATTCTCAATTCTCGAAAACAAAGAGAAGAAAGAATCAATAGAATCATCAAAAGTTGAAGGAACCGATGTTGAAAGGAAAATAAATAAAATAAAATCGAATTTCTTTACTTGCTTATCGGTTGTTCATTAAACTTTATCTTTTCGATAAATTTTCTTGATATGTTTATTTACTTTTTAAAGAAATGAACTTCATCGTTTCTTCACTTCCCTCTTAGCATTCACATATGCACAGAATTAAACATTTATTGACTTTACATGAGTAAACATGGTAAAAGAAGGGGGGAGTTAAAGTAGATATAAGAAGCAAAAATAAACTCATTACATCAGCTGGTTTCCGGAACAACTTGAAAGAGCATGAATTTTATTTCTTTTTGTGACTTTTTCGTTAAATTCTCCTAAGACCTTAATCACTTCTGATTCAAATGAAATGAGATTTTATATTCAATAAGTCGATATTTTAATGAAAATTTTAATCTGAATATTGAAATTGGATTTTTTCTCAAACTGGAGCAAACAAAAAATGATTAAGGGGATTAGATGTAAATGAGTCAAGGTTTTGTGGATTTTTGTATGTTTAATGTTGTTGGATGAATGAGCAATTATGTATCTTGGAAGGTCAGTTATTGGAACATGATTATTGAATTTTGTGCAATTTTTGTTCAGTACAGAAGATGAGTTAAGCTTTGCAGGCTTAGACATCCGGAATAAATTAATCTTTGTCTCTACATTGGAACTGAAACTTTTAATTTTCCTTTGTTATCAACAATAATCCAAGAAAAAAAAGGCAATTTCCTTAACATTTTCACTTGAATGAACCACAAACGCGAATGTCCGAGGAATAAACAAATTCACTTTATTTCCTCCAAACTCTCATTCCCATAACAATTTTTATTTATATTACAAAAAAACTGCAAAAAACTTAGCAAGAATTTCTCGTATTAAAAACTTTGAAAATTATTTCCTTATTCTGTAAATTCTACTTAGAAATTCATGGAGCGAAAATTGAGAAGATATATTTTTTATTTTCCAGTAGAAGAACTTTATAACTAACGCAATTCTTTCTTGACGATGAAAAATTATCTGCATTTTATATGAAAAGAAAATTTCTTTTGCATTACTGAAAGAATTTTCATCTCTTTAGTAATTGATAGCAGCTTTATGAGAATCTCTCGTTGAGTTCAGAATGGAACTTGAGAGTAAAATATAAACTGTACAAAAGGATGGAAAATGTTGAAAGTTCTTTCCCTTTGAATGCCTTGAATCTTATCTTATTAAAAGTTTATTTCAATTCGCAATGGACAGATCCTCTATTTAAAGCTAGGGAATGTTGTTTGATGCTGGAAAGGAGTATTTGTTGTTGAATTTATTTTCTGAGAGTTGTGGACTATTTAAAATTAATTAAATTAATTAGATCTGTAAAAATGTTTAAGTATTTAAAGCTTACAACTCAAAAATATCTTAGATCAAGCCTAATGTTGCCAAACAAAATGTCTAACCCACAAAAGGATCTCTAATTTTTAATATTAGGTAAATGTGACGTCATTACAACTTCCTAAATCGTTCTTTGAAGAGAAAAATTTTGAATTGACCTCTATAAATATCCATATTGACAGTATGTTGCTATGCCGATAGATCTGCATCTCTATTTCTAAGAAGATAATTTTTAAGACAACTTAACTCATTCATATTACTTCTATACAAAGAGTTGGTAACAATTTCTTCCAATGAATAAATTTCTAAAGTCTTTTGATGTTTTAGCTTCCATGGTTGAATTGTATTTCAAACAACAACCTACACATGACAATGACTTAGATTGATGAAATTATTTTTATAAAAATTTGAAAAATAACAAAATAATATTTTTAAATTCGCAGTTTTGATGCCCGAGGGAAGAGCTTACAGGAAGCAGTGCACTGGCAAGATGACATAGTGCTGAGATCAAAGGCCTACTTTTATTATGACACCATCCCGCCAGCACTAAAAATTAAGAATGTCTCAACAGAAAATGTTGGCATTTATAGGTAAATAAAATTTGAATTTTAAATGAATAGAAAATCATTCAAGAGGATGCATATATGCTTCATTAAAGTAAATTATATTTGTTTATTGAACATAGAAAGACAATATTCTTCTTATTCGTCTCATGTCGCTTTATGCGTCTTTTGAGAAATAAGAGGAATGAATGGAACAACAAGAAACAAATAAGCACGAAAATGCAAACAATAGAATATCATTTTGTGTGTACTTCTCTCTCTAGAACATGAAAATTAAATTAAAATAATAGAAGAGAATGAAAATCGATTGAAATTGCTGTCGAAAAATTCAAGAGGTAAACAACTGTGGTGAAGATAAAGAAGTTTATAAATCGATTTCATTCTTCCTATTTCCTCTCTCTTCTCGGCTTAAATTTCCTTTTGTTTTGTTGATCTTTTTTTTATATTTCTTTCATATAAACGTGAGCATTATTATCACATTTATAAAACAGTATGTTGTAGGCATTCAAACGACCATACAATTAAAATTCTGTGTGCTCTACCTGTAATGATTCTGTTCGTTCTTTGACTAGCTTTGTCTTAATAAGATGCAATTATATTTTGTTTTCTACAAACAAAATAAACTAGGTGAAAAATTATTTGTTTAAAATCTCACTTGGAGATTTTAGTCTTGAATTTTGTCCTTATTTCTAGTTTATCGGATATTTAAATGGTTTTTAAAACATATAAAATGAACGAGCAAAGCTTTTTCAACGATTTCTGTGCAGTAAATCACTCAAATCTTTACAATATTCTATATTTTGATATTTTTAAAACATTTGTTAACCTTACAATTGAAAACTGAAACAAATATTTTAAAATTCAAATACAAAAAGTCAGTTATCTTTTATTATCTCAATAAGACTCAAATGGAATAAGTTATTCATTATAAATTGTTTATAACTTCTCAAATTGTACTTCATAGTACAATAAAGTATTAAAAATTTTATTATTTCTTTCTGGGTGTTCTTCAATTCACTTCCTATTTGAAAATTCATAATAATAAACATTGATTGTTCTATTCATTCGTGTTACTATAAATTTCAAAACTTTTGTGCTATTTTATTTACTATTTAAAACCAATTGCATAACAAAAAAATTTCTCAACCCTTAAAGGCATTCAAATGATGAGCTAAAAATGAATAATGAAGAACTTCTTCATTTGTATCGCTTAGAAATCGTAAATGTGGGATTGGATCAATTTTTAGTTTATTAAATATTTATCAAAGACTTCAGCAACATGGGAATTCATTGTGTATCTTCGCATACATATACTTTGAATATTTTATTTACAAAATGCTTCTAACTTTGTACGAAATGTAAGCAGGTATATTGTAAATTGTTCAAAATTTATATACAGTATTGTATGAATAAATAAATAGAAAATGTATCCAGATATTATGTGATTATATACTAAGGAAAACCCACATTGGATTTAGAATACAGCAGACGTATAACAAACAAATTAGCAAAGAGAATTTTTGCAGGGGGATATTGCTTCGGGATACAGGAAAGATCTTCTACTGAATAATCCTAATGATCCTAGATGGATTTACGCATGATGTTAAATCTAATTTAATTTTCCTTAAGTTTAACCATATCCCTTAGGGATCGTTCACTTATGACGTCTGAAATTAACGGTCATTTTTCAAAAAAGAACAATTGATTTCCAGGAATTTCTATTGTTCTTTTCTTGCTGACCCCCCTCCCCTGGACGTCATAAGTAAATGGCTCCTTATATGAATTAATTTCATAATTCCTGAAAAATTCGGTAGAACCAATTTGAACTTAGTCAGTCCTTCAAAAAACTCAACATGCACGATGAATTCCCCCAATTCAAATATTTCGTATGTATTTATCTTCAAAAGTAAACCGAAAATAAATCTTTTCTGCTACATTATGCGACTTTCGTTCTATTGAAAATTAATAATAGACTCGAATAAATCTTAGTAAATGTATTCATATATTTTAATGAAACAGCTATTATTAGATAACTTACATTACATACTTTAATGTGTTGACAGATTAAGATGTTGTGAATTTTATAATTGAATGTTATGTAACAACCTGTGGAAAAATCGGAAGCTTGAAATTTCTGAAAATTAGGATCTAAAATTTCTCCACAGCATTTCAATTGAGAAATTGCCCAACACCTACAGATTTCTAATTCGTTTAAATGATTTTTCCGATTGATTACTTTCATCTTGACCGATTTGACTCAATTCAGTTAAGAAGATGGTGAGAAAACAATAAAGATTGATCAATTAAAGTGAACCGAGTTGCTTTTCGTTTTTAAGAAGATAATTGAGTTGCTAAGGATAGTGCAACTAGATAGTTGTTATATAAAGCTCGGGTCAAGCAATTATTGACAATTTGAATTGAATGTGAATTAACTTGGGGAACATAAATACGAAGACAGCAATTAAGCAATTAAATCTTCATTGTTTGACATTAATGGAGAGAATTTTCTGCAATTTTCAAGTATTTCGAAATTGTATGCAATTTTGAAAGCATCACTGCAATTTTCCATTTTCCATCGTCATCTTTTGACGTAAAAGCTTGCATTCGTCGTTCTACATTTTGCATAAATTCATCAAAGGAAATGCTCAACAATCATTCATTCTCAGTGACATCAATTTTGCATTTTCATGCAGTCAAAAGCTTATGAATAATGTTTAATTAACAAATTTTATTGATTTTTCGTCATTAAACATGAAAATTCATTTATTTACTCATTGAAATATTCGTATTTATTATTTTAATGAAGCATAAATGCATTAAATAATTAAAATTCATCGTGTGTCTCAAGGATTGCGCCAATTTATCATAACCTAGATACAGAAGCTGTCGATATTTCAATAACAAATGATTTTAGACATTTATATCAAATTTAATGCAAAAACATTTTTTTTCTTCCTTCCTTTTCAATTTCCATCTCTGTGTGATACTATTTCCACATGCATAACATCGTATGTACAATAAAAATGTTATTATTCTCCTGCCAGATGTCGAGTTGATTTTCAGAAAACACCGACAAAAAATTGTAGAATAAATCTGTCAGTTCTGGGTGAGTATTCAATTTATAAAGTTTTATTTTTATTACATTTCTTAATCCTCAATTTTCTTTCTTTCTTCTTTTCCTCTAGTTCCTCCTACACATTTAGAGATATTGAACGAACATGGAAGTGTCGTGTCGAATAGTGTAATTGGACCCTACAAGGAGGGATCAAGTGTGAATATAACATGTTTATCAAGTGGTGGTAAGTACCGTGCTTACATATTTTTCTCTCGAAAATTTCGATGGTACAAATGACGAACATGTATACATATTCCACCTATGTACTGCTCTCTTTAACATACAATTACATCATTTCTATCCTTTCATTTCCGTTATTGCTTTTATGGACTTGAATTTACATAATATTATGACTTTGGAGTCGTTTTATATTCTCAAAATGATATTCTTATGTCTGGTTTGATGCTTTTACTCATTCTGATGCTGCTCGCTCGCTCACTTGCTGTTCCACCCCGAACATCATATTCATGAACTGAAATGGAAGAAAATCCTGAGATTTAAAGACATTGAAATTTAAATGAGATTTCTTCTTGTTCTTTTCTGGCTCTGCTTTTTATGCGAGTTTTATAGAATATTTGGAGGTTAAGTGCTCATTTTGTTTTGAATTCTATTTTTTCAAAGCAAGCTATTTCAGTTATGTCACTGGATATAAATTTTAATGCTGCTTTTGGCTTTTTTGTGGTCATTAATTTTGATTTTGAATTGGTTGGTTTAATTGCAAACAAAAATATCTTGAAGTTTATATTTAATGACATGAAATTAGCTTCGAGTAAAATGCACTTTATACCTTAACCAAAAACATCTTGCTTACTTTCCATTCTTCTATTTAAGAGCCAACCTCTCCTTTCCTATTCAAAAAAAAATGTAACGCAATCTGCTACTTATTTGTCGCATACATTAGCTTCAAAATTCAGAAAAAAGAGTAGTTTAGACGATGGATAACCCGATTATAGTAAAAAAGGCGTTACAAATGCCATAAAGCACAATATAAATTGTAAGATATCATAACCCCAAGAGCTATGTAAATTTTCTTCAAAATAAAGAATCATTTACAGCGTCAGCAGGAGAAAAATGTCATTTCATTCTTTCCATTTCTCATCCACATCGCTATTGTCTCCGAAATATTATTACACGGTGCCGAAAAGAATAAATAAATATTAATCTTGTCACATAAACATAATAAAAGTTTATCTAAATTACACGGTTGTGACAAATTTCTTATGCTTTATTATTATATTGCTCATTAATTTTTCAAAAAGTACTTTTTATGGCCCAGCTTTAAATTCCTTTTGAGAGGAGTCAAGGCAATGTTTTTTTTTGCAACTTAATATATGACCTTTTTGATGACTGAGGCTTTAGTATTTGGTAGGAGGTTATAAATTATTAACAAAACTACTTAGAATGAAAAATTGAATAAATTAAAAAGGATCCCACATAGTAATTACATGCCCACAATAAGGCAATGAATAATTGCTGACTTTTTCTCAGAAAATGCTATTAGGATGGAAGTTTTTGTAGAAAGTTCAAGGATGAAGTTTGTGGGGATCTTTCTTAATTATAGAACTTGTTTCATTTGAAGTAAATTTGTTCAATTAATTTAATTGGACGATAAGATCATTATGTCATTCAAGTCCTAACCTGAAATCCATACCTCAAATATTGGATTCAGAAAAAAATAACTATTCAACTCAAATCAAGATTCATCCTTGTGGAAAGTATCAATGTCGAAAGTCCAGTCTTGCGTCTTAAAGAAATTCTTAAAGACATCCATTTGCCAAATGTCGTAGCTTCATAAAACTAAACATCATTTGTGACCATCATGAACAAAATAAATATTTCCATTCCATCCACAAGCCTATTCCCATAAAAGCGATTGCCGTAAAAATAAATTTTTTATGCATTATTACATTTTTTTTTCTTTCCTGTCTTAATATTTTTTTAGGTATGCCATTACCTCGCGTAACGTGGTTTAAGGATCATGCTCTCATCGATGACTCATATCATGAGCTGTCGAATGGCAGTGTAATAAATATTCTCCATCTTCCAAGAATATCGAGAACCGACTTAGAAACAGTGAGTATCTTTTTAATTAATTGACTGGAATCTTCTTCATTGTGTATGGTGAAAATTAATTGACAAAAGGCACGCAAATTACGTTTTTGAGGCTTTCGAGGAGAGACGAAAGAATTTTTAACACGTTCATTTCATTCCTCATCCAATTCCACCTTAATTGCTTTTCCAAAATTGTCAGTGCCACACAGGCATAATTATTAATTGAGGATATATTGTTATTCACATTTTATGTCACTTTGTTTTCTTGTTTCTTTCACAGACATATACGTGTCAGGCGAGTAATGGACACATATTGCCACCCTTGTCGAATAAAGTTATATTGGATATGAAATGTGAGTAGCTATAACAATAGTCTATTTCTGTAGATACGAACAGTTTTTCCTTTAGCTTCTGCTTCTGGTGTCTTTCTATAAAATGACGTTTCAATTAAACTAGCGGTGATGAGTTTGATGAAATCTGAAAAAAATAGTTCGTGGAAAATTGTATTAAATCGATTTTTGAGGTTAAAAATATTAAACAGCACCATCAACTGAAAAATTCTTTTTTAATTGGGGGCCATTCACTTATTACGTAACGCTTTTAGGGGGAGGGGGTCAAAGATTTTGTTACGATTCAAACAAGGAAATTTTTTTTTCATACAAATTTTGTTACGAGGGGGGGGGTCTAAGAAGTCATTTTTTCGCGTTACGTAATAAGTGAACAGCCCCTTGACAATTCCACTTACAAGTTTGCCTTTTTAAATTCATTAATATGATTTTAATTAGATATTCTGACTAAATTAGTTGCTTACAGAAAGTTTTTCTGTTATAAAATATGCGGTCGTTCACTTATGACGTCCATAAAAAAACCTGATTTTTAGACTCCCCCCCCCCCCCCTCTGTCACAAAAATTCTATAGAAAAAAAATTTCCATCGTTTGAACTGTCACAAAATCCTAGACCCCCTACCCCCCTAAATGTCGGACGTCAAAAGTGAACGGCCCTGTACTTTGGACGAAAAGTTAATAAATGAGAATTTGACTAGCTATTAAATTTTAAACTTTAAATTTCCGTTCCTTTTTAAAATTCAGAAAATCGTTTCGATACGACACTGAACCTTTTGAATTAAGTTAGTAAACTTTGCTAAAATCAGAACTCATCATCAACATACCACATGCTCCAGCAAAAAACTCAAACAAGCATAATTATTTTTCCTGCAAAACTTTTGCCTGTCATTCAATATATTTTCTTTTTCCTTGAAAAAAAAATAACACAAACATCAGAGTGATTAATTTTTCAATACCACTTAAAGTACCCTTGTTTTTCCATCCTTCCTTTCTTGAGGCCAATTTAAAATATATCAATCAAATAACACCTAACCTGTTGACAACTTAAACAAATTTATTTGCTGCTAAAGCAAATTAAATTTTGCAAAATAAAAAAAAAACGAGAAATGCTGTCAACAGTGCCTTGTTACTATAGCAGAAAAAAAAATATTCATGTCATTTAAATTGATGTTTTAAAAGCTTTATTCGAACATAACAGCAAGTAGAATTGTCAACAATTTCATGCTTTATTTTATGAAAAATTTCAAAAAGGCAGAGTTCCTTTGTGCTTGTGGCATAGTGTGCTGAACATTTTTCATTGTCAGGTCTGGTTTTTTGCTGAAATACTATAGGAACTTTTACGGCTAAAGTCACATTTTAATATCAAAACTAAAGTCAATTTGTTTTAAACTTTAAATCTAGAATTAAGTGTTCCGCGACACAAAAGTTTCGAATGCCATCCATCATGTTCTTCCTCTGCAAATGACAAAATATTTTAAAACATATCAATTTGTATATTTTTTTATGATTGAAAATTATTAAATTAAATATTTGTGTGAATTTATCATACCGCGAGACGAATGGTAACCGATACGAGTGTAGCTTAACACCTGTCGGCAGAAATAAATACGGCTCTAAAAATACACACTCTTATAATCTCAAACGAGATCAAAGAGAACGGATTGGATTACAAGAGAAGCGAAGAAAAAATAAATCTGGTTTTTTTCATCGATGGGAATTTTTTTATCATCCTACAGAGACAAAACAAAAGTTTGGTACAAAAAGTCAGCTGGTTTAATGAATTAAGTGCATTTTTACAGTCAGTTTCAAGTGTTTATAAGTTCAGGTTCATTTTCACTAAGTTATATAGAATAGTAGCATTAATTGGCAGTTTAAACCCGGCATCTTACAAATTTTGTCTTATAGATGAATCTATTCAGTTCCAATGAACCTAATAAATTGCATTCTGTAGCTCAACAACATGATAAACAGCTCACAAAGCAAAACTCTATAATTTTCCTCATCTTTAAGCCACAAATTATCTAAAAACTCAGTCAGACGTAAAAAATGAATTCATTGCCTCACCCTTTCTCAAGAATTTTGCTTTAAAGCACCGAGATTTTGCCATTGAATGATATTTTAATTGGAAATTAAAATTGGAAGCATGAAAAGAAATTTCTTTTATCAACAGATCATTGAACCGAGACGAAATTTTTATATCTTATGCCAATAAATTTAAGAATCTTAAAGAAAAACCGAAAAATGTTTCTCGAGTATTCCCTGACAATATTATTCCATCAAAGGTATGATGCCAAACATTTGAAGACGAGTTGAAATTGTTGTGAAAATTAATTAATTAAATTCTGTGAAACATAAAACCTATTGTGATTGATTAAATTTAGAGAATTTCATTAATTATTGAGATATTTTTGGTTGGAAGGCTTTTGCTGAAATTAGTTTTTTTTTTTTTGAGGCACGAGGCACTTTTTGAATAAATATTTTTATAAGTTATGCCATCCTTATTTTGTTTTCATGCTTAAAGAAACGAGAATTATTAAATAAATGAGACATATGTGCAAATATAAACATTAGGATTGTATGAGTAGACTGAATTTAATTGAAATAATAAATGTTGAGATTGTTCGGAGTCCTTTTGGGGTTTTATGATAATTGAATTTTTTAAAATAATTTTTTGTATGTATCTGAATTTTCTGGAGCTTTTTCTTAGTAAAATTTTGCTTAATGTTTGGTGCGAGATTAATAAGCATTAGCTATAGTATATTTTATGAGGACAGGTAAATCAGAATACTTGTTAATATAGCTCTGACTATTAAAATCCCCAAAACCATCCATATCCTTTCAACTCTCAATCATTAACCTCAGAGCATTCAAAATAATTTATGGCCATTAACCTTTTCAATCACACAAAAGGAGAGCTGCCAACAGTTCAAAGTACCAGTCATTGTAATTCTTGAGAATTCATTAAACTGATGGAGCTGAAATAAAAAATAATCGAAAAATATTGCTATAAATTCCATACGAATAATTAAAAACGACACTCTGAAAACACTCATGGATGGGACACAGCACAAAAAAATTATTTTCTGCAAATTAATTCCACTCTGCTCGCAATTTTGTTTTTTGTGTGTAAAAATTTCTCAATTTACTGAAAGCGTTCAACCATTTAATTATCATTTAAATAAAAATTGTATGGAATTAATATTTAATTGGTGCCATAAATGCAATTCTTTTTTCTGTATTTATTTTGCATTCAGCACGTCTGGTTGAGTCGAAAATGAATTTTTTTTTAACAAATAAAATGATGATTATGTTGATTTTTAATAAACACATGTACTTTGCATGCATACATATAGGATGTTCAATTGTATGTTATAATTCTTAATAATTCTGACATTTATATCGACATTTTTTTTTTGATGGAGGAAGTATGGTGCGGAAAAAAAAAGAATAAATTGTTTATATTTCTCGTCTCATTTCCATTCAATATTAATAAATAATACGAAAACATTGTATTGCATATCATCGATCGTATCGATATGTTGAAAATAATTATTTTATAAATGCTGAATACACACATGCAAATTGAGAAAGAATTTCTCTCAGTTGTGCGTGACAGCCACGTAAAGTTTGTTTTCATTTATTTTCAATATTGGAAACGTTTGAAATTTTTACTTTAAAAATTTGCTCGGAGCGATTTTGTTGCTGTTCCTTTTTAAAGTTGTTAAATTAGTTACACAAACTCAACAGTTTGAATGCAGATTGAATAGCTTTAAGTTTAGAATTTGATTAAAAATCATGTAGACAAATATGTTCAAGTGTGACTGAAGCATCTCGTGTAAAATGGTTAGAGAAAAGATTCATTAAACCTTCCTTACTAAGGACACGAGTTTGGCTCCTCCTAAATATCTGATCATCAAAAATATTACTCCCGAATGGCACAAGTCGGTTTATCGAATAAAAATCTGACATCTAGCTAGAATGACTCTTGCATGGTGCTGGTTTCAATTTAAATCTAGCACAATTCCAGAGTCACACTTGCTTGATGCCGGATTTCTGATCAATTAACCGACTTTTGCCATTTGGATCCTGTAGATGTAACAAATATGAAATCTTTAGGATTCACACCCAACGCTTAAAACCATGAATAAAGCCTATAACAACCTTCATCGATAACCAACAACAATATAATCTCCCAAAACCTACCTAGCAATTTTCTATAAGCCCTTCAAAAAAATATAAAAATTCCAAACTCATTCAAATCTCGTCCCTTACATCCAACGCACTAAAAGTGGATAGCAATCGAAAAAATTCAAAAATTTATTTCCTGTAAATCTCTAACAAAATCCACAATAAATAGCCTATACAAGACTACTAGCCCACATGCAAACATAATATGTTTTCAGCTCATATATTTATTTACCCTGCCAGGCACACATCAAGTGAAGTATCACACAAAAAAAAAGTTGAAAAGATATTCGCTGCTCTCTCGTCTGCTTGCTGCTCGCTGTAGATTGATCAATTCGCCAATAAATCTGCGACTGAATGCATTCATAGTATGTTTCAACTTTCATAAATCAATATTTGTTGAATAATTTCTGTAAACAGCAGAAGCGAAAACTGTATAATGAATACGTACGATACAAAACAGCATCATGTGCTATACAATGAAGAATATATTCATTGGAAATTTATTTTCAACATCCGTTAACGAGCAATTTTTTTTTGCATGAATAGTGAAAAATATTCGACTAGCGAAAAAAAAAAATGAAAAAGTAGCTATTGACCGTCGTATGACAATTAATACATTGCGGTTAATTTGGCCTGAGAAGTGGGTCAATAATTCACTATAATTATAAATGTTCTACAGAAAAATGAGAACGTTCTTTCATGCTACATATAATAATGTCATAAATTTATCAAAAAAAAGAAGTCTTTAGCTCTATGTTTGCTTTGTTTGACTTGAAAACCATAAATTTTATTTCCAACTTTTGTTGCTCTCACACTAACT